CATAAATTTAGAACGCACTTTCACGTGATTAAGCTTCAGTGCCGCTGTGCAGTTCAGTGAGCAAATAAAGATCAGTGCACACCAGTGGCGCGGTCACGTTATTATATTCCTGATATTTTAATAGACAATTTTCTAACAATACATGTGTTATTTACGTAGATTTGTATAGATTAATATTATTTTTATTGCATGTCAAGCTTTTTATGACCACTGATAGCATTCAAGGTACCATCCTACCTCAACTAAAATTTATATAACTGATATGCCTACTACTATACTGATATGATACACTAAATTTCAATTAATTCGTTGATTATCATCATTATAGACACAATTAAAGAACAATAGGTGGCGGTCACCGGTGACCGCGCGGTGTTTGATTCTTAAACACAGGACATATCACACTGAATGTGGGAATCGTGAAAACTGCTGATACTGCTCAATGCGCATCGTATGCAAAATCTTATTATTTTTATTACTAAACACAACAAACAAATGAAAATGATTGATTCCTAGGTTCCCCACGATCATTTCTCACATACAAATCATTTAAAGAAAGAACCATGCTACCAAGAGATTCCTGTGGCACTTTACCACAACAATGGTAAAATAAATGGCGGCCATATTTATTCACAGAGTCTGTCCTTGACGTGCCACAAAACAGTGGAACTTGACATGCATGCATCGCTCATCGCCTGTCCGACACACACCTCTGATAGTGAAAGCCTATTGTCTGCCGCAACTAATGACTATGAGCGGGAAAGCCTGCTGGTGTTAGGGCCCCATAAATTATGTTGGAGTTCATACTCTGAATGAATTTAACCATAATATATCATTATTTTATTAAATTCAGTAATTAAAAATAAAGGAATAAAGAAAAGAAAAAGAATATTGAATTTGGAATTTTAATAATATGTCTAATAGTTATCCATATCCATATCCAAATTAAGCCAACAGTATAATTTTATACAACAAGAAATTACTTCTCAACCATGGTATTAACAATTTTATGTTTGTTCTTAAAAGCCTTCTTGAACTCTAGTATAACACCAGAGATTCTCCAGAGCCATTCTAACGCCTAAAACACATTTAGAGCACCTCCCTTCTACTGAAAGTGGAGCTAAGTGGCATCCCTGATGCAATTAACACGCCTAAGTAAGCCCTATTAGGTTTTGTGGCAGCCGACCAACGTACTATAGTACCATGAAAATCTACTTAAAGATGAAATAATACATGGACTGACAACATTTAATTCTGTTTTTAGACTTCCAGGCTTCTAAAGATGTTCCTTTTTATAGAAGCATACCTATATTTTTTCTTTTGCCAGTTAGCGGTTTCGTTTCAAACTATGTTTCGTATATCTCTGTCCTTGCTAAATAATTTCAGTCCAGAAGTTTTAACGCGCAACAACAATAAGCATCCATATAATCTACACAAACTTTCACATAACATTATGATATTAATTAACAACCAACACTGAACATGACACACTCGATATCTGACAGCTAATCTGTACTCACATCTCCCAGTCAATGAAGCAAAGTGTTTTAATGAATGGCGTGTATTTACAACATTGTCAGTACGTCCCTAATCCCGGAGCTTTTGGTGTTTGACACTTGAACCAGTGCCGAGCCGACGAGACAATAAGGCCCGGGAGATCCCCACAATTAGGGTGAACACCCTTCGACAATTACACGTCGCACGAAACGCGCTTAATGGCAAGGATTACGTTACGAGTAAGTGAAATGCGAAAACGGGAACTCGTAGGGCTGCACCACACTATTGTGACATATTTTTTAATTAGAAAATTGTGCTTTTTAAAAGGGTGTCGTTAAAAAAACTTGCGGGTTTATGTTACACTAGTCACACTGTCAGCACTTTTGATACAGCTATTAGATTCTACTTTGGTATTGATGAATAGATGCATCAATAGATTTGAATGACTATCAATAATTGTTTTGAATAGCGCATTGAACGAGTGGATTTGTTTTTTTGTTAAAGGAAACTTTGCCCTCTCTAGGATTGGCTCCTGTGTTGCGGGTGCGTTTAGGAACACACAACTACAAGGTACAGTTACACATGACACCCCATGAGTGCTGGAGAGTTCATACATTGCTTATTTTAAACATTTTAACCTATTTCACAATATTAATGAACAAAACTTTGACAGCCCTGTAGATATGTAATAGAATTCACCGCCATTTAGAGGTCAGTTAATCACGGTGCGGAGATGATATCCCGTGACCAGACCGGACCCCGGGTCGCCGGTAATGGCCACGGTTATCCGGTCCCGAGCCGGGTAACGTACCGGCGGACTAATCAATTAATTTCATCAACATTAAACTGATGCAGGGTTGTGTGGACTTGTTGCTAACGTGGTGGAGGTAAATTGTGGTTATTAATTATTATCATCGTTTATGTTGTAAAAGCTGTTTGTGGATTGCCATACGTGTAGGTATTATTTTTGTGTATGTGTTTCAGTGGACCGTAATGACCTAACGGGTAACCGGGGCTCCGGCTCGACGTGCAGGAGAAGGAACGGGGTGGTTTTTAGTCAGTAAGAGTCTGACACTCCCTCCCGCCTCACCCAGGCGGGAGCAGTCATTCGATGATTTTCCCCCCTTAAAAAAAATGTATTTATCATGCAGTTATAATGAATGATGAGTGTAACTAAGATAGGTTTAATTTTAAATATCGAAATCATTTAAGTTATAGAACTGAAGTTAACACGCGCTTGAAAACCCATAATATGTTGACGGACTCTAACTCAGTAACTTTGTTAACATCAAGTACTTAATGGGGCCGTCGGTAGAGGGCGCCCTAGACGGACATATAGTGACCAGATTGGCGATATATTAAAGAAGGGCCAAATTAAAAGTACCCTTAACCGACGAGCATGCATGAAAAGATTGATGACTGTTAATGAAGCGAAAGAGGTATGTAAGAATCGTAGTAATTGGCGTTCCTTAGTCTCTGCCTACCCCCATGGGAGACAGGCGTGAAGTTATGTATGTAAGTACTTTATGTAGTGATAGTAGAGGTTGGCGTACCATGTAAGATCTTTATAACAATTATTTGACCAGGAAAACAATGTAACTGTAATATGACAAGGGCACGGACACAAGTCCGTGGAGAAATATAATTTATTATTATTATAAAAAAGACTCAGTAACTCCACAATCACACTTGAAATAAAGACAGTGAACTTGCAAAGTTAGAAAAAAATCACATTGCATAATACTTTCGTATTTCTCAAACAAGCGGTGACGTTGGAAAAGATGAAGCGATATCTAGCTAGAGCTGTATTTACATCTCAATCCATCAATTGTGTTGTTCATCTTAAAAGTGACTGGGGTAACACAAAGGTTGGCTCCCCTAACTCAGGGTTGCGGAAATAACAACAATTGTACAAACTGAAGATAAATAATAACTAAATCAATGGAGACTGAAGGAAAAAGTATGTTGTAACTTAGCAAAGCGCATGTATCGCAATGGGTAATGATTTCAAATACAGTCAATATAGCTGTTTATTATGCATGTAAGACAATAAAGGTTGATTCAGTACAGAGACTACAATGGCTGCCGCCATTGGTATTTGGTTTTTTTTAAGGGGGGAAAATCATCGAACGACTGCTCCCGCCTGGGTGAGGCGGGAGGCAGTGTCAGACTCTTACTAACTAAAAACCACCCCGTTCCTTCTTCTGCACTTCGAGCCGCAGCCCCGGTAACTCGTTAGGTTCTCCGTGACAGTATTTGGTTGGCTACGGATCCGACCAATGGTTGCTGAAGATATGGCTTGACTACAAAAACAGTGTCTTTATAATGTAAAAATAAAGACTTTTTTTGTCATTACATAGCTTTCGCCTATTACAATAAGAGTCACAAATATGTAGATAACATCAAATTTATTTCAATTGCATCTTTACCCTACCAGACGACTAATTCATATCGATACCTCTCGTACCTATGCCCACGTGGCTACGCTGCTCCTTAAATTCATTACAAACTTCGCCTTAATCTTCTTATCAAAGTATAGTACCATCCTATCTTTCACCATCGGGTAATCAAACTGAAATCGATACGGTGTCTCACGTAACTCCTGTGCCGTCGTATGGCACATTAGAGGCGCACCTCTACTGCACTAATGGACGACTGCTAGGGGCGAAATGGATTGCACGTGAAATGTATTGCATTCTGCCAGCCAATGTTTACGATGGTTCACTGATATCACATAGGTACTGCCGATGGCTACTTAGGGTACTTCATTATTAAAGGCTTTAGTCTGCGGTTAAAATACATGCCTAACTGTAATTTTAACTAAGTTCTATTTATTTTTCATTGAGTAAACTACTTTCCTATATAAAATACTACGTACGATTTCGGTAAACAACAGAGTCTAATATCAAAAACGATGTTTTTCTGGAACATTCTATCTTGATTGTCGCCTACATACGTCCACATGGTACACAACATAATAAATTCACTAGACGTAACACATACACACTGTTAGTATTGCCACCCTCCATACAACGGTACCTTCTATTTGCCTAGTTCTATATCACTAGAACGGGGACAGAGTTATTAAACTTACATTTAAACGTCACATAATACCTCAATTCCTTAGGGTAAAAGCATTTAGTATATTCACTTGAAAATAGAATTGTGTACCATTTAAGCTGTTCCATTCCAAAATTGTTACGCCTTTTCTCAGCCAAAACGTAGGTCATGACGTATTATAATATCGTACCAAATTGAATAGAGATTACCATATAAAAATCTCTAAACAAGTACTGTAAATTTTAAAATCAAGTGTCCTAAAGACAATAACTAAGTATACTAGTTGGTAATAGAGTAATTATTCGTGCTTCACTGTTGGGCTTGCAAACACAAACTATTTGATTGTTACTAGGTGGGTAATCTTGTCCAGATCTTCTAAACATAAGAAGTTGTTTACACATTTCATTATTTGCCTAAAAGTCAGGCTAGGTGTTATAAATTACCTTGTAACGTGTATGCAGTTCGCTGCGGTTGCATTCCAGGCGCGGCAGTGACGCCAGCGCGCGACGTGTTGTGCAGCGACAACGCGCCCAGCAAGTCTAGCTCGGTGGCTGCAACAAACAGGGGATATCGTCAATTATTTTCATTAGAAGCATAGAAATATATGGATGAAAGTAGAATAACGATAGAAGTACACAGAGCGGATATGAATGGGGCCGTCGGTAGAGGGCGCCCTAGACGGACATAGACTGTTGATGAAGCGAAAGAGGTATAGTATGTAGAAATCGTAGTAATTAGCGTTCCATAGTCTCTGCCTACTGCCCATGGGTGACAGGCGTGAAGTTATTTAGGTATGTAAATAATATTATATGAACATTTTTGATATCTTTGACTATTTCACAATTTGATATTATGTATAAATACAAAAGTATAAATAATATCGTTCCCTATAAACCTTATTAGATGAAAAATGAGAGGTGCACATCTACACATCTACCTGTCCTCCCTAATTAAAGCATAATTCTTTAGACAGTCGACAGATAAGCGAAGCGGATCGGATGCAGTTCGATACGAGAATCGTCATTAAAAAACTTTTACTAAGTCAACCACATTGACGACCCAATCAAAATACCTATGTCCTGAACTTTCCGGGTGCATTGACCTCTGACGGGAAGCGGAAAAATATTTCTTACGTAATCTTATTTGGACTGGGATAACCGGGTCACGAGTATCCCCTGATGTATTCAGAACTCAAATGTTCAGAATATTGTGATTTGAAAATTCAGCAACTATACGTGCTTGTCATACTCTGTGTAATACATGACCTGTGTATTTCAGGACACGTTTTCAATTACCAAGGTGTCAGTCACATTAGTATGTAGAAATGAGACATGAGCTTAAATTACAGTGAGAATTATTATATCAACAATCTTGACATGATCTTACAGGTTCTATTTACTGAATCCACAAGGATTTGTAATAAAAATTAGCTGACTTAACGTCTTGACATCTTGTCTTTTAATTCCCGAAATCACATTAATAGGTTAGGTGCACATTAATAGGCATATTAATATTAGACAGGTATACATAACAATTATCAATACATTTAGATTAAACGTAGGAGAGTTTTAATGGAATGAATTCCTCAAGGATACGCATTCACCAATGAGTAGACCAAGCTTACATTAGGATGAAAAGGTGAACATCCTGCAACATTGTATTTAAACGTCCCATAAATTCTGAATTCGGCTGTAAAAGACCCGCTTCACGAGGAATTATGACAGAAGCCGTAAAGGCTCTATAGCGGAAAATGACACAACAGTATAACGTAGGTTATTGTTTTTCTAGATACGAGTATAATGAATATTTACGACATAATAAACTCGTACTGGCCTACATTCATACAATCAATAGGGGTGAAGGAATAGAAAAATTTCGGAGCCGGCCCCGACTGTATCGATTTATGCACTGTTTAAAGCTGTTACTCTTTTTGCGGTAGTCGGGTAAAATGTTGAAGTTTTTTTTTTTATTAGTGCCTTTGATTTTGATGTCCTATCCACTTGACCTAGGCCACTACTGAACTTGTACGGTTCTCACACATAATCTTTTACATACATACTTGTCTGGACTTTAAAAAAGATGGAACTCTGAGTTTTTTTCGGCATTACTTCTCAGAGTAGTTAGTTATTAAATGTCGCCCTCATCGTTTGCTTGAAAAATTGACGTGTAAAGGTGCAGTCTTGTAGCCTATTTGCAGAAATAAATTCACTAGTTGTTTGGAATGGAACCCATAACATATAATAGTGGAAAGTGATCGAGTACCTAGTTACATGGTGTATTCTGTTATTTGATCTTTTAGTCAATAAAAGACGAGATGAATAGAAATTCCCATCAGAATTTCGAAGCTTAGAAACACGTCCTATATGGTAATTGGCTTGTCTATATTCGGAGATATTCGCTTGTAGAATATCGCAGTAGTGTAGAGAATGTAGACTAGAGGTATTTAGTGGACGTGTTAGCGGAGTGCCATCTATCATTGTAACCCGGTCACGTAGCGCTACACCGCGTAGCACCGCTACTACGAGGCTACGAGTTCACTGTGTTCGGAACTGTATGTACACATTTAGTGATGTTCTTCTTTTATTTTTTTTTAAGATATTCGTGTACTGTGTGATATATTATCTTGAGACATTCAAGATTTTCTACCTTTAATACCATAACATCATTCATAGGCAGAGGTGCACATTACGGTAATCAATGCCATTGTACAATGTAACACCCACTTTTCACTATTTAAGTATGTTATGAGTCCCATGTAAAAGGAGGTGCGCTTATTGCCATATACCGGTCACAAATCTAGACTCCGTGTTACTACCTCTCTACCTTTAATATATTTCCTTTTAAATCTTGATTGTCACTAAGCATACTCGTCCGTATGCTTAGTTAGTTCGTCCGTATAAATCAAGTTTTGAAAATATAAAACTAACTACGTTAAAAAATCGACTTCAACACCCTCTTATTTTGAAGTCGTTTAATTAATATATTTTTACTAAAACCTTCTCCTAAGTATACCAAACACTTTTCTGAAAACCGAATCAAAATCGGTTCAGCCATTCGTGAGGTCATCGCGCATAAACACACATACATACTTACAGGTCAAACAGAGAACATCTTGCTTTTTTGAAGTCGGTTAAAAACAAGTTTGAAATTCGAAAACAAAAACTGTTATAAAATCTATTAACGAACTAATCAACTAGTTTAACACGAGTATAATAATTTTAATCAACTATACCATATATTAAATAGTGTAATCAAGTGTTGACATCGTATTACGGGACATGCAATGCAAGCACGTGTCGTGTCAAAAGAGCTTATATGGCTTATTGTCACACGTTGACATAAGTGCCCCTGACTCTAGTGAAGGGGGCACCGCACCGGGCTCATGATGATGATGATGACACCTCTATTTTCTGACAGGATTCAGAACAAAAGGAAGAAAGACCATTTTAAAAATGGAATTGTGTAAATGTTTTTTAAAATAAGTTGTAAATAGGGCTTGCTTCGTTAGCCGAGTGGTAGCAAGAGCGACTGCCGGGCAAGGTGATTCAGGTTCGAATCCTGGTTTTTAAAAAAAAATTAAGGAGTAGCATGGGACTCATAACATAAAATAGTAAAAACTGGGTGTTATATTGTACATCAAGTGCCGTAGTGTGCTCTGCCTATCCCTTCGGGGATAAAAGGCGTGAAGTTATGTAATATTATGTTTTTGTTAATAGGTTTAAATAATGCTGACGGCAGAGATTCACAAAAGAAAAGCGAAAAGCTCTGTCGGTAAATTGAATTATCTTTTTATTCATTAAAGTGCACCAGAGGGTGTCTAATTAAGCGCATTCCAATCTCGAAATATAGCTTTCTTTATTTGCGTGTGAAATATGTCCTTTGAAATAAACTTCAAACTTAAAAACTTAACTTTAAAAAAAGAAAAAAAAAAAGAAAAAGAAAAAAAAAAACTAAATAATCAAACAGTTCTTCAGGTAAATGGTAACTGGTTTCTATAGTTAATATCCTAAACATGTTTGTAATATTCTTAGAACACATGTGCCATGAATACAGAGTCTCTTGATTTGTTCTTCAATTAACAAGCGCCACAGATAGTGTCAAGAGCCCTCTCACAAAAGAAGCCGCAATTTGCAACGCCTCTGTAGTGCAGGTAATACTTGTAGCTAAGAATAGTAACAATACTAGACAAGTACTAGACAGGATTTGCCACTAAAACTATCAATTTATAAATTAATTAATAATTGCAATGTCTAATTAAAATAAACTTCTACATTAATATGAGCAAAAGTTTTACTGAGTTTGCAGATTTAAATTTAGCTCTTTGAAACTGGTTCGGTATAGATGTGTAGTTTTAAAACTGTTACTTAACCTCAAACTTGCATCACAGTTAAATGCAATTCAAAACTGAAATTCAAAGAACGGGGTGAGGTTTGATCTCAAAATTTACAATTTTATCAGATCATGATTCATTTATAGAGTTATATGAGCAATAGTTTTCTCCGAACAGAGAGATCGGCAGGCCTGTCGGGCGGGCGCCGTCGCGCCAGCGTGTCGCCGCGTAGTCTGCCCTCCCGTCACAGATACCGTCCACATAAAAAGAGATGCTCCAGATTGCCTCGTAAACGATCGCTGTAGACACTGCGTGTTTGCAGCCTCACTACCCACTGCCTACCCATGCCCATAACTATTATTCTCCTTTGTTTAGTAAAAGGGATAGATACGATAGAACTTGTGGCTTTTATCATTACCTCTGATGACATTTTCTGTGACTTTTTGAGTTCTTCAGTTACTTACATTTTAACACAATTGAAGTAACTGGGCCTTGAACAACGCACGTCTATTAACTTTAATATTTAAGTTTTAAAACTATAAAATGGGGAATTACGCGAAAATAAAAATCTTTAATAAAGTACATGGTCTATAACAGTGGCACAGTCACTCTTATATACGACTGCCCACTACTATTGGTTCTTTCCATTCGCTTCGAATACTGGAAACTCATAAAATGTGTTTTCCACGCGATCGTAAACACTTCGGCCAGCGTACGATCGTAGTACATCAATACCAGATCAGTAACGACTGAATAAACTAGCTTTAGATTCGTGAAAACATCACATTACACGCAACTTCCACTCTTAGTACAAAAGGTATAAGGATTGAAATCGGCTAAATAAATTTCGGTTTACGAGAAGTGCAGTTTCGTGCTGCATCAAATTCGCTTTATGAGTCGGAAATTGCGATTGCTATTAGTAGTGGTAAGACTGGACGATAACATTTTAATGCACTTTAATTATGAGTCGTTTTGGAGTATATGGGGATGTATTTGAATGTCTTATTGTTATACATATGCACATTTTTCTGTGTAACACGTTGGTTGACAATGTGACAAATAGTTAATGTTTTTAAACAGTGTGCAAAAAATCCGTACTGTTGCCGAAAATATATTGAAAAAAGCGGCGAAAAAGGCCAATTTCGATTCAGTAACTTGTACATTTGAAACGACTCAAGTAACAATACAGACATTATAAGTACATGCCCATATTGTCCATCG